CTGTTTTTTCCATATTTGTCGTACATTATAGGGGGGCATTAATTACTATTTGTCCACGAGTTGTTTATTTAAAAAAAGTTTAAATAACCATTTTCCACTATTAACTAATCCTCATGTCTTTACTACGTGTCGTGGTTTCAACTTTCTTTCTTGAGGATAAAAAGTAAATCTTTCACTCCTTGCCTCTTTTTGCCAGTTTATTTTGATTACTCTTTGGTATTAACTTTACGACAGGGATTTATACGTCGGAAAACGAGTTCTATATACATGTTTAATCTGTTGTTGACACACTTGAAGAAAACTTGACCCAAAAAAGCTACGAATTTTGCTTAGAAATAACTTCTTTTTTTTCCGTTTTTTTGAATAAAAAATATCGACCCAATTTCCTTTTTGGGTCTTAAAAATAAAATGAAAAAGATTTATTGCACTATTCGGTAATGTTTTATATTTTTAGTTAATTTATATCACTACTTCCATATTCTATTTTGTATTTTTGTCCCTATTTTTCTTTTAAGTGGACTGAAAATTTACAAGAACAAGGAGGTTTTCTAATAATTTTTATATATGAATACTTTTAACGAATCATTTAAATGTATCGCTAGACAGTTTAGATTGATAGGGTTGCTATCAACAAACTAAACCAACTGAAATGTTGGCTGGTGCTGCGCACACTGTCCAACACAGACGGCCGATTTTTAAGCATGTCGAACTTGCAGTGGACTGTCCGTCCAGTGGTATTATATATTATTATAAATGTGAGCAACCATTGTGCCAAAGAGACTGCAGATCGTTATCTGGTAATCCGAGGTAATATATTAAAAATATGGGATCTGGCTGTGTTCAATAACTGCGGGGTGATGAACCTGAAATTTGATCCTTACCGATCATCCTGGCATGTCTTCCTCGCAGACGCGTTTTACATTTCGCCATATTCGGTGTGGGAGTGATTCTGTTGTCAAGCCTATTTTCATAAGGTCGTGGACGGTGTATGCCGGGGTTATCTATATTTGCCCGATGCTTTGGTGAATTAAGTCTGGGTTTTTTTTATTGTTCCGGTCTCTGTGATGTAGGTTCATGGTTGTTTTCCATGAGGTGAGCCGTGTATTTTGATTTTCCGTCATTGTCCGTCAACGATATACGTTCTTTGTATCTGTTCAATATCGCCTTTTTAGCTTTACTATTTGACTGAGCAAATTTTATATCGTTTTTATTCGTTAAATTGAAAAGCAACTTATTCAGATGTAAAAGTAGTCGAGTACCGAAGAGGAACAATTGTTCCGAATCCAAGAGATATCCGACTAATTCCAAGAGAGAACGGCATCTCATTAACCCGCTTAGTTTAAATTGTAATAATAATAGTACCGGCATTAGAAAGTAATGTAAGTCATAAAAGCCCGCACTTAAATTATTATAAATGAAGGGTGGGGTTTGACTTAATTAGGGATAGGAATGCTTTAAACCTTTTTTCTTATTATTGGTTTTGTTTTATATCCTTGGACGAAAATAGACTCACTTTGACAATGTATTAAATAAATTAAATATTAAGTGTAAAAATCACTAAAATCAAACGCTTTTCGATGAAAAAAGTGACCCTAAGTCGAAGCAAAAATTTAAATGAAGAAATTTTGAAAAGAGTTTTGCTTTTATTGAAAAATAGCTAATTTTAATTTTTAAATTACTTGAGAACAATATTTTGTGGGTAGGGTTAGAAACAACCCTTTTTCGTCTTAATTTGTGGTTTTTAATATTATAATAATGGGCATGAACTTCAGCTTATTATATATTTTTTACATTATTCCAAAAACGTGATATCCACACCACGCTGCAGTTTAAAAAAAATATTGTTAAAACACTCATTTTTCACTTTTGCAAAATGAAAACCAGTGTCAATTTTCGAAGTTTTTTGTTTTGAATGTAACATTTTTAAATATTTTGTTCGAACTCTGCATATTAGGTCTTTATTTTGGATTATGGATATTAGAGAAGAACAAAATATGGTTCCATGTTTTTTTTTTTCAAACTGAGAAAAAATAGTGTTAATTATTTGATTTATTTTAACTTGGATCAAGTCGACGTTATACTTCACAAGAAAAATAAGCCCCCAATTTTGACAATATTTTTGGGAAAAGAGTCCTAATTTGTTTTACTGGTCATACTTTGGTAATGAAGTAAATCCATGATTCATTTCCTTGAGGTTTCTGTATGTTTATGACTTACTTGTGCAATAAATCCGTAAGGGTTTTTCAATAATTATGTTTTATTCCGCTTGTGTTTTGAAGCAATTTTTATTATTTATTGTTTACATAATAGAAAAAGGGGTTAGTTGGTGTGTTTTTATTCGTCTCTTTCGTTCGAGATCTCGTACTTTCACATTGTTTTGCTAATTTAAAACGAGAGGAAAAATAATGCATTTTCGTTGTTTATTGGCTCTTTTATTTCCCGCAAAGGGAAAAAGGCAGCTCAGACTCCTAGGAAAATTTGAATAGGTATCACGCTTTAGGTGAAAGCAACGTCCGTTGGCTTGCTGGTTTGCTCGGTTCAGAATAGGAAATTTTCATTTTGGAAACACGCAAAGTGCTCTGGTCGTTCTTCAGCCGTCGAGAAAGACCAAATTAAAGGTTTAGTCACAAATAACTTACACTCAACGGCTCGAGAAATCGCAGAGATGTTTCACAAACATCATCAGGGAGCAGCTGGATATGTTTGACAGAGAAGAATTTTTTAGACAGCAAATCAATCTGCGATTCCCTCTTAAAACACAATGTAAAGGATCCATATTTAAAAAGATTAATAACTGAGGAGGAAAAAGGTCCTTCACAACAGTTAGAGAGGTCAATCTTAGGAAAAAACGAGGTGACCCACTCACTACTCCAAAAGGCGGATTACATACAGAGACTGTTGTGCATTTGGTGGGATTGGACGAAACTTTATTATGAGCTTCTAAACCATTAATTCTAGGGTACACAGCATAATCTAAGCTATTAAAATCAGCAATCTATCAAAAACGACCGGAACCGGCTAATCGCAAGGGGACTGTTTTCCACCAAGATAACGCGTGAGAAATTGTTGCAGCTTGGCTGGGATATGCTACCCCAGTCGCCATAAATTCCCCTTCAGATTTTCACTTATTATGGGCACTGAAAAACTATTAATGGAAAAAGAATTAGTTCAACTTGAGGGTTGCAGAAAAGACACCGATGAGTTCATCGCTCAAAAACTCAAACGGTTCTGGAATGTGGGAATAACGAAATTGGAAGATGGCAAAAGGTAGTGAACAAAACAGTTCATATATTTTTTTATTAAATTTGTGGAGAAATACGTGAAATTTTCATTGAATTTTAAACAAACTCGACGGGCTTATTTTACCAACCGATATATACATTGACAGGCAAAAAAATTCCACCCACATGTAATATAACTTGATTGCTGTATATTTTTATATATTAATCAAAGTTTAACAAGTGAAACCGAGTCTTTTTCCTCTGAGTCCTTTTCCTTTCTCCTGACAAGACGTATCATGTCTGATAAGTGACAAGGCAAACTGTTGCACTTGGCCTGGTACATGTTCGCCGTACGTACCCAGATCTCCATCTTCCATTGTTAAAACGTTGTTAAAATAACTTTCAGGTAATAAGAGTTCAAGTATTAATTAGTTCGAGAAAAAGTCGATTGCATGGCGAAACTGCCTCAAGTACACTGACAGGCAAAAAAATTCCACCCACTTGTAATATAACTTGATTTCTATATATTTTTATATATTAAGCAAAATTTCACGTTTTTAAGGTTTAATAATTGAAAACGAAAAAACAGACGGAGAGATAAAATTTGTTTTAGATTTTTAATTAACATTGCAGTATTGGGGATTTCCTTCTCTTGCCTTAATTACGCCTTCAAGACGCCTCGGCATACTTTCTACCAGTCTGGAAATGTCTCTTCGCTGGAAGTTAGCCCATTCTTCACGAAGTCCTTTCAAGATTGTGGATTGTATCAGGATGTGATAGACGTGATTTTATTCGCCTTTTGAGGTTATCCTATAAATATTCGATTGAGTTTGGAGAACGGGATGGCCAGGCTAAAACCTGATATTATTCTGTTGAAGGTACGCTTGTACTATGCGAGCGACATGTGGACGGGCACCCTTTCACGCCCATCTTGAGATGGTAGAGCAAATCTACACACATCTGTAGAAAGTACAGCAGACCAATCATCCAATGACCAATAGCTGTGTTCTCGAGCAAATGCGAGCCTTGCAACTCTGTGTTCTGATCAATTCTGTTCCTCTAGCTGCGAAAGCCATCGGTCCGTGTTAAACGTACTGCGTCTCGCAGTGTTTTGTAGGGAACTCCGATGGCAATAGACGAATATCTGATCGAACATTCATCATCAATAAGTGCCACACCACGCACAACATCCTCAGCACTAATTGGCATTTTTAAGTTTAAAAATTGAAATTACGAAAACAAAAATGAAAAGTAAACAGTTTATTGCTTCAGAATTCAAATGAGACTGAATAAACATTTTAAATTTCGTAAAAAGTAAACATTGATAAATAATTTACACTTCTTTTGTATTAAGGATTAAGTGAGTTCACATCTAATTGAAATTCACAATTTAAAACATGCCATAAACAAATATTTATTGGTAAAAACAATGAGACAAATTGAGGCCAGAATTTGCTTTTTTCGAGAAAATGGGAAAAATTCAATTGGGTGAGGGGGTGAGTTTTGCCTGTCAGTGTATTAACAGAACTGGATTGTGTGAGAGCAAAGAAAAATTTCATTGAAAATATTTTATCGTAAAATTGATATGCAAGGTCGAACTAGGAAAGTGACTAATTATTACTCGGTTCCGATATATGTAGTTGAAAGGCAAAAACGAACGAATGGCTGGAATGAAGGCTGGAACTTGAGTCGCCAAGGGGCCGGTTTGTTTTTCCTTCAAGAGATCCCTTAACGCTCAGATAATTTTCGAGGAAATGTGAAAAATTCTAAAGGGCTCACCTTTCTCCCAGGTATCCTTTCCCTCGGCTCGATTATCAGAGGCGCCGCCGACCATCGCTTCGACTGGTTGTTTGTCGTGGGTATACCTATGCAATGACCGTTGGTCACGTCGCCTCCTGCAAAAGGTTTATCGTGAGGCTTTCTTAGTTTTTCCTCCTCAGGACGAAATTTTGATAAAAGGCGAACTTCTTACCGTTGTTGGGCAGGAGCTGGTTCAACGCCGGCTCACTTCCTCGCCGGACCTGGAGGGGCCCGGTGATTCCAGAGGCTATCTGCTCGTTTGTTACTTCTATGTCAGTCTGGAATTTCTCTCCGGCCTGGGAGATAAGATTTTGTTAGAAACTCCAAAGAGAATTGTACAATAAATATAAACAAATTTATCATATATTAGAACAAATTGTTAAGTTGATTATGATTTTCTTGAAACAATAGAACCAAAATGGTTTGATGATTAAGCGTTTTACCAAGATTTTAGAGAAGAAAAATCATAATTATTTAGGAAAACTTTAAATTATTGGAAGAAAAGATATAAATTTTCATTTTAAAAAATCTTGTCCGCCTGGTCTCGTTATTTTCATCTGTCAGGAGCTTTTCGCCATTTCGTATTGATTTCTGGTTTTGGCACAAAACTTGTCTAGACAGACGAAACCAGCGAGACTAGACGGAGTAGGAAAAACGCAACCCAACTACTAGTTCATCAACCCGCAGGCTTCAAGGAGAAACCTCGCAATTAATTGTTTAAATGCTGACCATTTCCAGGAGGCAAGGTCCAAACCTGGAAGGTAAAACTGTTACTATTTAAGTTCACTGCCTCTAGGAGGAGTAAACAGTTAACACTCGGAATAAGCTAATCAGTTTCTATTTAAGGAAACTGCAAGTGATTAAAAGGGTTAAAGGTTAAACTTATTACTTTAACGATGATAGTCTTAAGAAACTATTTCATGCAGAAAACACAAAACCCTAATTGTCAAGAGTAATGTCGATAAAAGTATAGAAGTTAAACACCTAAAAAATTTTTTGTAATTGTTACCTGCGAGAAAAATCACAATTTATTTCCTAGATTAAACAAACAAACCACTTTAGAAATATTTTGATAGTCCATCCTAATTTTGTGGAATTCCTTGACAAGTTGAATGGTAAGAAATAATTAATAAGTCATATATTGACAGCTTGGGTGGATGAAAATCGTGAATGATCATCCCAAATACGTTGGTTAAATATGAAAAATTTCCTTTAAGAATTTTTTTTCCAGATCATCCAAAACCTAGTGTAAAAGATGATGAAAGATTGCTTTCACAAGATTATTCATGAATTTTTTAAATGGATAAGAAATCCAAGATTAACATTTTAAAGGAAAGCATCCAAAACCCGTCGAAAAGAAAACAATTCCTTTTGGCGAGATAATTTCTTAATTATTTTTCTAATTAAAAACTAATAAATTATTTTCTACGATAATTGTTATTGTCGTTTAATGAAAGAAAACGTAAGGGTCACACAAGTTGACAACCACAACTTTCGATTATTGCTCTTGCCCAAGTCCGAAAAAATTGAAAGTATTAAAGTTTAATTAAATTAACATTGTTTGGGGAAAAACAAAATATAATATGAAAATAGACATCCTGATTTCTTTAAAAATATTAAAAATCGTGTGTAATAAAACATTTTTCTGAAGTTAACGTTACAAAAATCGTCCTTGGAAGTATTAAAGTTTAGACAAATAAACATTTGTAGGGGAAAACATCCAGAATTCGATGGAAGTTATAATTTTTGAACCAATTACACCAAAAAAACATCTATAGATAATCTTAGATAATATAGAATTAATTTTTTTATCAAAGGTCCTGGTTAATTGAAATAATTAATTTGGTCAATTTTGTCCGCTAAACGTATATGGATTAATATATTAATATGGAATATAAGAAAACTTAAGTAGATTAAAATCTTTAAAGTAAAGAATAGTAATTCTTGTCATACTGGGCTTAACGTCCCAACTACCGTTCGGTGGTGGTCGGGGAAGAGGGGTCAATCCACTTTATAATTCCATTTTATATTTTATTGCCAATTAAAATTCCATGGGGTTGCGCCAGGTTTCGAACCCAGAACCATCAATACGCAAATACGCTCTAACCATGGTCCACAACGGTCCTACAAAATCTTTAAAAGAAAACGTCCAAAATTAATTGGATGGTTTGAATAATGAACATTCTACTTCCCTTTAACTGGAAGGAAAAGTGTTGTTGCTTACTTTGAAAAATGATCTATTATAAAAAAAGTTAAACGCATATTGCTGGAATAAACTTCCCAAAATTTCCTAATTATATTCTACCGTCCTGGAGGAGAAATATCTCCTAAACGTTTACTTCCAAATTTTGATAACGAACTGTTGAAAAGTGTCAAGTTTGAGACAATGAATCTTGAGATTAGTCAGTTAAAGTTGCCAAAAATAAAGATAGGATGGTAAACATCTAAAGAATTTTTGTTTAGATAGGGATTCGCATTTTTTGTTTTCTTTTAAAACGGTGATGATTTCTGTATAAGGAAATTGTGACTTTTTTTATGTCATGAGTTTTCTAACATTAATCTTCAATGATTTCTATTTAAGGAGAGCTGAGTATATAAACTGGTAAAGCTCATAAAATGATAAGAATTTAAGAATTCTCTTTAGGAAAAGCGGTTCCTATCTTCTAAGATTCGTAGGGGGAAAAAATGATAACCCCACGAAAATCTCCCGAATGAATTTTAAAAAGTTTCTCTTCATAAAGCACAGTCAGGTTAAAATCAAATCATAAAGCGTTTGAACTTCGTGAAGTTCATCGAAATCATTTATGAGAAAACTTGAAGAAGTGGATGAAGAAAACGCGTGAAAGTAAGATTTTTTTCTGATTCTCAAATCAACTGCACGATGAAACTAATGAAACCATCACAAAGTGGATGGAAATGAAAGTTACGACATAAAGACAACGTGTAATTTAAACAAAAGAAAGTAGGTTGCTTTTCCGGCTGAAACAAACAGAACGCGATACGCCTTTTCAAGAGTTTTAAGGAAAAGAATATAAACAAATAAAAAAATATCGGTTTATTATTGCTGTGAGTTCATGGACAAGTTCAATGTCAAAAGTAAATTTGCGTGATACAAGGGACGATTTGAGGTGTGTCTTTTGTTCAAAACGAGCGGAACTCCGCGTGAGCGGACTCTTGGGACAAAACGTGAATCATGTACCAGGCCCGTATTAAAAATAAAAAAGGCAGTCTTCTGGGACGGATCGGTCGATCGGCCAGGACCTAGGTCAACTCGAAACCAGTTTCTCATGAGGAAACAGAAGGAGAAGAAACTGTTTCACACGTTAACGGGCCAGACGTGTTCACGAGGGGGATTTTTCCTTTTCCTTCCGCCGTTTCCTTTCTGGAGCGACATGAAAATTCATGTAGGATCGTTTAAAAATGGTAGCGGTTTTAAAACCAGGAGTTTTAAATTAGGACGGTCGTACATCACTTCAAACAATCGCTTAAACCCAAGCAAAAGTCTAAACTAGATTTTAATTTTTATTGAACTAATACGTAAACACAATACAAAGTAAACGTTCAAAATCTAAATAAACATATCATTTAATTTCGTTTTATGTCAATACAAAATGTCAAATAGTTTGTTTTTGGTAATAAAGAACTATTTATATCTACAGCAACAATTGGATAGTTTAAACGGTTCATGAACATGATGGCTCGAGAAAATTAATTGACCTGGACTCCGCCTGGATAGAAATTTAAAGAGGAATTCATTAATTATTCTTAGCGCGTTCACAATCCACTTGGCCCATCTTGACGAAGTTCAGGACAAATGGAAGCGGACGAACTAAAAAGGTCCTGTCATTATCCTCGATGCCAGTCCACGTGTCAAACGGCTCAAAGATTGAGTGACGGAATGAAATATTAACCCTTTCTTCACGGCGACTTTCATTTTCGAGGGGTTTCATTTAGTTAAATAATTATTTAAAATTTGACTCACCTGGAAGATATCGGGGCTGGACGTGCCGACGGAACTGCCGGAAGCCCCGTCGCCGCCGTGATGGTGTGGCCCTTCCCCTTCGCCAAAATTGGCAATGATCTGCTCCCTGTCATCGGCGACATCGTGCAATCTGTCGTCTGGGTCTAGAATGCCGCCGTCTCTCTGCGTCTGTAGAGAATGGACTGCTACCCAGTTCTCAGAGCCCTGGAAAAGAAAAGCAAAAAGTCCCATTAGCGGTTGGTTCCAATGCGGAAAGTTGATGGATGATGATAATAAACGTGCTTTCAAACGTTTAGGTACATAACTCTGTATTAAGCCCGACAACAAACGAAAACGATAAAGCAATGTTTTAAAACTATTTCCAGAAAAACAAAGGAGGAAACTTTATAACAAATACATGCCCTGGTACTGGATTCGGTCTCCATAGTTGCACATCAATATTCTTTAATAATCGGTCCAGACAAAAATCCTTCTTCTATATGAAGAATTACACAGTAACTAATAAATTCATCTATTAATAAATAACATAAGTACATTATGTTTGCTGGAATGGCAGGAATCCAGTAACCCAGTGCCGGTTCAACATAGTCTAGTTTTGCTTAAATTGCCTAATGGCCCTAGAAGAATTAGAAGGATACCTTGAGGTGGTTCCAGGAATGAAGGTTAGAAGGACGAACAAGCCGATCAACTATGAGACCAAACATCAACTAGGCATGAAATGACATGATAAAGAAAAATCCAACACTGGGCTGTACATAAGCCGGTGAAGCAACCTAAAAGAGGCCTGGTAGGCAGAACATGATGATATAATTAAACTTGGGTCAAATTAACGTTATTGTTATTTCGAGTTGTAATGTAACTTGTCTTGCACTCCAACTTCTGCAACCAATAATTTTTTATAGGAAGGTTGTGTCCCACTAATTTTCTTTTGGCCTCAACCGAAACGCGGCCTGTCTCGTAATTCAGCAAATGCCACCAAAGTTTGTTCTTTGATCCCACCAATTTGTAATGGCTGTAGCACCAACCGATTTATTGTGATAGTCCTTTGGCATTATCGCTGTAACTGCCACAAATTCGAAGTGCCTGGGTTCGTGAGAACCCACCAACTTGAAGTGTTTGTTGTCGTGTGATCCCACCAATATTTCTTGTTTATTATCGAACGGTCCCACCCCTTCTATCCATTTATGGGTCCTAGTGAAAATTAAATCATTTAGGAATTGCTTCTAAACAAAAGTTTACTCAGTCGTCGGCCCGTTTCAAACTTAATTTCACCAGAAGATAAGATCAACTTGAAACCTCCTTTCTTGGCCAACCTGGTTTTTTCTTATAGTAGGAGAAAAAAAAAGTCTGTGCACGTCAAGCATGGTGTGCCTCACGTTCAGGTTTCGATCATAACTCATTGTCCTTGAAAATTTCCATGATCACTTCAAATTCGAAAACATTGTGGTTTGAACGTTCGACGTCACCTGTAGGCTATTGAAATGCCTTTCTTCAAAACAGAATATACATTTATCTACTTGTATTAAATAACATAACAAACCTTATCATTATTCATTGATTACGTGCAATTTTCTTTTTTGGAAAAGTGATCATTGAGAATGCACGACGTATTAACTTCCTTTACGATTTTTTACATAAAACCTTAGAAATCAATTTAAAAAACGATTAAAATGCCAGTTCGTTCAAACTGTACCGGCGAAGGGCTGCAAGAACCGCTGGTTACAAATTCATTTTTAAGACAATTCTGGGGTAAATGATGTCCGACTGGGTTCCTTTTATCTCCTGGTTTCTCAGATTAATATTCACGTCAAGTATGAACCCAAACTTTATATATTTATAGACATGTTTCGTCCATCGGTTTAAATGTTATATTCGGCCTGTTTAAAAAGCCATTAATAAAACTTCAACTAGGTTTTGTCAAGTTACAAGATCCATGTTGAAACAAAACATGATTTACTTTGATTTATCTTTCTTTGAAATTCATGATTCACGGTTAACTATGATAAAGCGGTTCGGATAAAAGACAAAAATATTTTCACGGAATAAACCGTTTTATCGTGCTTCATGATGTGCATTTAAAAACCCATTATGACTGAAAAATCAGTCATAGCCACGTTGATAAAGATTATCGCGAAGATTTGCAATTTACGTCGCTGAACAAGCAGGGTAATTGTCTTGAATGATTTTCTTTACTAACAAAAAGTGAATGAACGTTTAAAACATCACGTTTTTTTGAATTGGTTATCGTGTCTTCCTTGTTGTAAGTTACCTAAGCGCATTTTAACTTTTTTAATCATATACATACTGACGTTTCTCTGGTCAAGATTCAAGCCAGGACAAAAAGGAATCAGGACCAATTTTATCTTGAAAAAGTATTTTTTTTAAAAGGTTTTATGGACTGTTTATTCCTGTAATGTTTCAAATAAAATTAAATCTATAAATATAATTACATAGATAAGTAAATGTTTAACAGAAAACAATGCCACCCACCACTTTAAGAGAAACTGGTCTAATAAGACAGTCGTTTCGAAAGGAAATGGCTAGAGCTTTCAGACTTAAGTGACTAGAAAATGGCAATGATTCGGGTGAAACAATAGGTGGTCATCCTCAGCTTTCCCCCCTCGAGGAAAACGTCCAGTTAGTTTTTCCCAGGACGTTTTAATATGCCCAGTGTGGGCTTGACGTTGTGGCCGAAACTGAAAATCGAGATCATAACGCGACCGAGGAAAAATTACTCTGCCATCCGGTTTTTAGGCGAAGGTTAAGAACTGGGAGAAAGTCAAAAGCAAAACTGGTTAGTTTTGCAACGACTACGGAATATCGTGTTATTGTCAATATTAATACCATTGCGTGTTTACAGCTATAAATAAAAAAAAAAAATTGTTCCACGATTCGGCCGTACGTTCTTGAAAAGGAATGTTTCCTTTAAATTTAATTATGGGATCTGCTCACAGTTGAGAAAATAAGTGTGGGGTAAACATGAAGAAAAAAACAGGGGCATCACACCAATGATCCCATAAACGATTTGATAACATATTTCAAAACGCACGGCAGCTTTACACAAAAGGCGAACGTGAAACTGTGCCGACAATCGTGATCGGAGTGCTAAGTTCGGTCGGGCTTGATAACAAATTTCTGTTGAATTTGCAATAAAATCAGATAAAGAAATAAACCACCGAGTCTAGGCTTATCAGACTTCTAAACAAAACCAAGAAGCAAATTAATCATTGTAAACTAAACAAAAACTCTTTTAAACATCCTCGGTTGAATAACACGCATTTTCTCTTTTATTTAAGGAAAAGATATAAAAGTATCATAAAAGTTTCAGTGTAATTTACTTAGTTGCACTTTCTAAACAGAAATAATATTATGAACCGATTAGTCGATGAGTTTCTTCTCTCTTTCAAAACCAAATATTTCTCAACATGCCGAACATTAAAAAGAATATTACAAAAAGTGGATCTTGTTCATTATGATGTACTAAAACTCAGTCAATTTTAAGTAATTTCTACTTAATTAAACATCATTTCCATTTAAACTGCACGATTAAACGAAAAGTCTATTTTGTCCAACCTAATGAATGGAAAGTCAAGCACGAAGAAAAATCTCGACTCTGCTCGTGATCGTTTTTGCCGGAGGTGCTTTGCCAAGTTTGGAGAGAAGGGGATTTTTTCCCCCTCGGAAATACAAAGAAAGCTCACGAAAACCGAAGCCAAACAATTGAAAGTTTCAATACAAAAAACTACTGTAAACTTTCCTAGGAGCCAAAGGGTAAAATATTTCATTAGGCAATGTCACCTTAACAAAACAGCCTTAACGTAGTTTTCATGTTATTTGGGTTAAAAACTTGTTAAGCTACAGCATTTCGAGAGATTTTCTTTTCTCCTTAACCTGGATAATTATGGAGTTACTAGATTATAGACAGAGCTTAAATCAACCATTTCTAAGGTACACCCAAATACTTGAATTCTTTTACTGTTGACCCCCCCCCCCCGAGAACGAACCCGTCATCACACTGTTCAAAAATAAATGCAAGGGAAAGCTAACGGCATAATAATCTACGTAAAAAAAAGACATATATTAACATGTAATTCAACAACTTTGTTCCCAAGTAACTAGAAAACTACTTTACCTCCAAAGAAGGCGACATTATCCAAAGAAATGAGCGAGAGGAACGTAGAAAAATGGAAGAATTTTTTAAATCAGATTCGTTGATTATTAAAGCTTGAAATTGGCCTAAATTTCATTTCTGCAAGGACCGCTTTCCCTTGCATTCGTTTGGGGACAAAGCGTCGTGATGCCAGGTTAGTTCTTCTCAGACTGCTTAAATGAAACGTGGACCATCTTAAAGCTTTAAAAATAAAAATAACCGTTGCACTTAGGAACTTGCGAACTTTCCTGGGTGTGAATTCACTAATTCTTCAAACAATGTCGCCAAATTAAAATGGAGATAACGTAGTTTTCCAGTTCCTTGCTTGCACAACTTGTTAAACAATAGCAATTCGAGAGTTTCTTTTCTTTTTTACCTACCTGTCTAGATAACTAGGTCGTTATTAAAGATTGTCACAGATTGTAGGCAGTTCGATCAACTATTTCTAAGGTTCACCCAGTTCACCCAAAGATTTGGGTTTTGTAACTGCAGAACTCTGGAGAAACGGAATTTTCTTACTGCTTGGGAGCAAACCTTGTTAATCACAGCGTTTCAAGAAATTTTATTTTCTCCCCTACACAGATTATTATATAGTTATCAGAAGACTGTAGATAAAATCAAATCAATCCTTCCCAAATTTCACCCAAAGAAGATTTGTATTTTTACTGTAGACCTCCAGAGAACGACCGGTCATCGTACTCTGGCCCAAAACGAATGCAAGGGAACGCGCCCCCTTTATAAATGAAATTTGGACCAACTTAAGCTTTAGTAACCAAAAACAACCATGATTTAAAGAAGTTATCAATTTTTCTACGTTCCTCTCGCTCATTTCTTTGGAAAATATCGCCTTCCTTGTAGGAAACTAAGTTTTTTGATACTTAGGAAAATACTTGTTGAATTACATGTTAATATATAACATCTTCTTTTGCCTAGAATATTGCCACATTAGAAGATTATTGTCAGAGATTATAGGTAGAGTTTGACCAACCGTTTCTAAGGTTCACTCAAATATTTGAAATCTTTTACTGCAGAACTCCCGAGAACGGACCGGTCA